TCTGATCCCTGACTAGTGAGTGGTGGTGGATCCCTCTTCCCTTCTGACTACATCCTGCTCCATAAAGAACTTCACATACATGAATCTCGACATGTCTAGCCACAAGCCCCAACTCTGTTCATCCTTTCCCCACAAAAAAACTGACTCTTTGATACAGGAGCAGAAAGTATTGTCCTCAGGAGAGACTCTAAGGAGAAGATACACACACCCCCTATAAGTAGGCTCAGAGCTGGATGGGCAGGGAATTCCACGGTTCCAGGTATCTATGGGCTCAGAGGAGCCACATGTGCCAAGGAGCTGTAGGTGTTTTAACCTGTGGGATGTAGGATGTAGTGTAGATGCAGAAGGGTCAGAACAGAACCTTTAAAGCTTGTGGCTTGTGGCAGGGGCCTCTGTCTGGTTGTGATGTGTGTGGTCCCCGAGTTTCCATTTACCTTTGACTTTTTGTTGTGTATCTTAGTTTCCTAGTGCTATTGTAACAGATACCACACGTGGGTGGCTTTAAAGAACATAAATTTTCTTACAGCTCAGGAGGCTGAAAATCTCAGTTCAGATTGGACTGTCTTGTCTAGCTCAGCTTTCAGGAGCTGGCAATTCTTGAAATGCTTTGCCTTGTAGACATTGCTCATTTTTCCCTATGAGTATACCTGTTTCTAATATGATAAGATTTAGAACCCACTCTACTTGGGTATGACATAATGTAATGAAGAAAACTCTATTTATGGACAGGATGGCCCCCACAGATATAGTGGCTGGGATTACAACACACATTTTATGGTGATGCATTTCGATCCATAACACTGGGTTTTTTATTTTCTTTCTTTCTTTTTTGTTTTAAACATTTTATTAGGGGCTCATACAACTGTTATCCCAATCCATACACACATCAATTGTGTAAAGCGCATTTGTACATTGTTTCTTAAAATGGGTTTTTTATTTTCATATAGACCTGACCCACCTAACATGTGCAGAAATAATCAGTGTGTCCTCTATCTAACCTTTTCACACAAGAAGGCAAAACTTACAGCTTCATCAAAGCCTTGGGTGTGGGCAAGAGTTCATTCTGTGATGTGAGTCCTGTGATGTGTGCACCTTTGATTGGCTCCTCATTGGGTCCAATCTTTTTGTCTCTGTAACTACACTAAGAAGGAGCCTTGCTTGGACAATGGCTATGAGTGCAAGGTTAGCAGTTCGAAACCACTAGTTGCTCCACAGGGAAAAGAAGGGGCTTTCTACTCCCTTAAAGACTTACAGTCTTGGAAACCCACAGGAGCTGCTCCACCCTGTCCTCTAGGCTCGCTAAGAGTCGCCATCAAGTCCATGGCAGTGACTTTGTTTGTATTTGGGGTCAGTGAGTAGTCTTTCTCACAGCCTTTTGGAATTTCACATGGTTTGCAGACCTTCTCATTATTGTCCAAGGTTTCCAAAATAGCATTAAATAAAGACAAGCTTCCTTGGCTCTCTTGCCTGCCTTAACATCTCACTCGTTTACCAGGTAATCAATCTTTACAAAGAACTGCCAATAAGTATCTTTCTTTGAATGGCCACTTGCTAAAAGATATGAATGCTATTTAAAGCCTGACAAACTTAGACTTCATCTAATCAACAGATATTTGTTCATTAACTTTGTGCCAAGAAGAGGGAAAAAGATTACACCACCACCCCCCCTCCCCCGCACAGCAGTTTGATTGGCACATAATTCACATATCATACAATTGAACGGTTCAATCATTCAATCACATCACGGGGAATGGTACAATCACCACCACATCTTAGAGCAGTTCACCCCCCATGGTAAAATATCACCTTTAAACTGAGTTGTGCAGTCATGATCAGTTCTAGCGCTCGTCCCCACCCCCTGCCTTGTTTGCTCCTGAAATCCCCCTTCCTTCCCTATTGCCCACCCTGACCCCTGCATTTCCAACACACCTTCTATCAGTTTTTATTATACACCCATTCCTCCTGTGCTTCACAGCTGGGAGACCCAACAGAAAACAGTGAAAGATAATTTGCTTTCAGGTGGTAAGGATACAATCATATATAACACTGACATAATCTTTGCTTGTGGGAATTTACAGTTCAGGCAGGGAAGTGTTAAATAAAACTAAATTACAATTAGGTTAAGGATCATGAATGAAAATAACATGTTGCTAAGAGACTCTGAGTCCCCAGGTGGCTCAAATTATAAAGTTCCGGACTACTAACGAAAGGCTGGAGGTCTGGGCCTACTCTGAGCTACTTGGGAGAAGGGCTTGGAAAGCAACGTGAAAGGCCACAGGATTGAAAACTCTGCAGTTCTGCTCTGCCAACATGCAGTTGTCACGAGTGGCAATGATGACAGCTAACAATAACGAAGGCAGGGGTGTGGCAGGGGGACGAGCAGCATAGCTGATGGTGATTGTACAGCTGACTGTGGGGGTCAATCAACCAGGGGGCAGGGAATGCTCTAGGATGGAGGTGGTGGTGATTGTACAATTCCCCCTTGGTACCTTTGAACAATTGAACTATTCAATTCTATGCTATGTAAATTATGTGTCAGTAAAACTGTTGAAAAAAAAACATTTAAAACTTTTTAGTCCCTACTTTCTCCCTTTCTCTCCAGGATCTCCTAATGTGACCCCTTTCAGAGTAGTAGCTGGGCACCATCTACTTCTTTTCGTCTCAGGGAAGTGGAGAGTGATGTTCCTGTGGTCCATTCGTCCACTGGACTGGTTTCCCTGTGTCTTTGGTTGCCATCACGCTACTGGCCTCACAACGGGAAGACCTTAGATGGCCGCGCACAAGCTTTTAAGTCCCCGGATGCTATTCACCAAAGGAGGAGGTTAGAACATTGTTTTTGTGGACCATGTCATGCCAATTGTTGGTCTTTATCTTCAGAGCAATGGAAAGCAGGAGAGTGCAGCTGGTTTGTGTGTTTAAAAGATCCCTCTAATTGTTATGTGGGAAATGTTTATTAGAGGTGGTTTCAGGCTTGAAAATTTGGAGTGGATGGTGTTATGTAGGAAATCTGGTGACTTGAACTAGAGACAGCAGTTGATCTGGGTACATGCTTCAGTTAGTATGAAAGGACTTGAATTTTGCATTGTGGAGGGAGGGAGTGACAGACCAAGGACGGTGTCTAGTCTCCAGCTCAAGCACCTACACAGACGGAGCACTGTAAAAGTGGAGGCAGATGAAGCAGGGAGCAGCTGGGTAACTGGTCTTTAAGGAAAGTCTGTACTGATGGACAGAAGTTTGGAAATGTAGGAAAGAGGGAACCGATTACAAGGAACTATATGTCACCTCCTCCCTGGGGGACGGACAACAGAAAAGTGGGTGAAGGGAGACGTCGGAGAGGGCAAGATATGACAAAATAACAATTTATAAACTATCAAGGGCTCATGAGGGAGAGGGGAGTGGGGAGGGAGGGGAAAAAATGAGGACCTAATACCGGGGATTTAAGTGGAGAGAAAATGATTTGAGAATGACGAGGGCAATGAATGTACAAATGCGCTTTACACAATTGATGTGTGTATGGATTGTGTTAAGAGTTGTATGAGGCCCTAATAAAATGATTAAAAAAAAATAAGTTTGGAAATGATGGAATATTCGTGGTATTAAAATAAACGCAGAATAGGAAAGGATGGGGGTGAAGGTGGGCAGAAGGACCAAAACCAAATCCTGTGCTATTCTAGTAGAACACTAAAGACCTGAGAAATGGTCAGCAATGCAGAAGGGACATTCAGGCAGCAAACACATTAAAACAGAGGCCTAGGAAAGACAGCATTTAAATGAGGAAAGATGTAAACTGTGTTCAATGCCAGAGGCTAGGCAAAAAAATGCAACCCACAATGTATTCAGAGTCAATTCATAATGCACTTAAATAGTAATGTGCATCAGAGCTTAATTTCTAAAGCACTTGCTTTGTAGAAGGCGCAGTTTGCATTAGGAGTTTTAACTCCCAAGTCTTGACAAATTCAGTCTTCATTTGAGTTCATTCTCTTAACCAGGAATGAGATTCCTCCTAGCCAGACAACTCCCCTAGCCAGCCCCGTTTGGAGAAGTCTCATCCTCAGAGGATTTGCCCATGTGTGCCCTTAAAGATGTATGGAAGCATGTCACTGGGAGTTGGGTGGCCAAGCTGCATGACTGAAAAGCTCAGGACCAACCTTGTACACATTTCTATCTGCAATTGTGTAGCATCCCATCCTGATTCCCTTTGCTGCTTCCTGTGACAGTGACAGTGATGAATGGGGCCTGCCACTAATCAGGATGTTGTGCTGCTTTTGTTTTCTATTGTCTATAATTATCCACAGGGCCATCAATCCTTTGGAGGCCATTCTGGCTCTCATGCTGATGGCCACCATAGCCTGGATGACTTATCTTTGTAATGCCTTGTCCTATTTAAGGTTTCATAAAGGGGTCTCTACACATTTGAATTTGGGGTATTTTCCCCTCTAGAACAAATGAATACTCCGAGTACTCCCCCTTCAATTTGTTCAGACAGACAGCCAATCTCGGCATCCTCAGGTTTATTACTCAGGGCTCTGGTTATATACAGCACATCGAAAGACTATTATCTCTACCATGCTTGGTCTTCATGTAAGCCAGTGGTTCTCAACCTTCCTGATGCTGCGACCCTTTCATACAGTTCCTCATGTTGTGGTGACCTCTAACCATATAATTATTTTCGTTGCTACTTCATAACTGTAATTTTGCTGTTATGAATCACGCAACCCCTGTGAAAGTGTCGTTCAACCCCCAAAGGAGTTGCAACCTGCAGGTTGAGAACTGCTGATGTAAGCTGTTGTAAAAACCTAGTTTACACTAGGCACAGAAGAGTCAAAATAAGATGAGACCAAAGGAGTAATATCGAATGTTCTGATGCAGTTGATTTGAAAATGAAAGAATTCATAAGTAGCAAATGCAAATAGTGCACTATATCTATTTCTCAAGTCACCTGGCCTCATACGAAAATTTTCATTTTTTAAAAAGATAAATGAAAAACAAGTCAAAAGGGATCTAACAGAAAAGTTTTATTGAATAAATACATGCACCGTCATGTAAAATTAGTTGAGCAAAAAGGAGTCTGTAATAATAATAATAATAATAATAATAAATCCCTCTGCTCTTTTCCTTCTACAGAGAGGGCAGAGCTAGAATTGGAATTCAAATAATAACCATAGTAAAAATGCAAAGCTGTGTCCACACTAATTTATATTTGGCTTCTGTTCTTGAAAAAGAAGTGCTGACTTTCTTAATGATGAAAGGCAGTACAAGGAATTCTCATAGTACAGAATAGAAATTGTGGTAAATATAGCAAGGCTTCATTTGTTTTAAATCAGAAACTTGAAAACACCTTTATAGTTCCATACTTTAAGGCACAGGATAAACAACCCATATGTACATGATAACCAAAACTACACTTCAGGATGCACGATAAGATGTTTTCCCTCCACAGTTTTGGCTTCAAAGTAGAAAAGCTAAAGTTCCCTTTTATTAGACAAATCAATGACTATAAACTAAGAATGAACACTTTGGAAACAACTGAGAATTTTCTGTATCTTCAGTCTCCTAGGAATGGGTTTGATGGTCCTTCTGTCACCTTTCCCCTGTGTCATGGACGAGCTTCCCTTTTAATTCTAATCTTCTCTGGGAGGGGCTTTAGTGCCATATTCATCCATTTCCTTCCTTTCTTTGAAACAGAATGGGAGCCTTCATCATCTGTAGGTGTGGAGGTGGCATCCAGACTCCTTGGTGACAGCTCTCCCACAATCGACTGATGGTAACTGAACGGAAGCTTCTGGCATCAAAGGGTAGCCCATTGTGCACTGGGTTTCTTTGTACTTTAGTCTTTAGTTGTATCTACTTAGCCCACTGGCTGAAATAAAGCATTTCATTACATAAAATATGTTCAAAAGTGGTTTATGCTATCACACGTGGTCTTGTACCACCTGTACCATTGGATAGATTAAGCATGAATACAAAACTCAACATTTAGGGTATTGGTGAAAATGCCTGATATGCTAACATCTGGATGAGTTTTTCTTGTCTTTGATAGATGATGTCAGAAGCCCTTCAATAGACCTAATTAAAAACAAAAACTTCAAATAATCTAATACCACAGGTAAACAATCTGCTATGATTTTCCTTCTTCTTTTACTCACACTAAAATATCATATTTTGTTTATACACATTTTCATATGTACATGAACGTATAAACAAGTCTCTTTCGAGAAGAATCAACCCTATACACTAGCATTGTTGATGGTTTGCAAAGAGGCTTGAGGATTAAGTTTCCTTCAACAGTAAATAGTGAGACTACCCTCGTCTTTAGGTGACATGAAATGTGTTGTGTAGCCGTTACATACTCCACTCTAAGTAGAGCCATGGTTCCAAGTATAAATTAAAAATTAAAATGAAAGGAAAACCTTCTGGAAGGCTGGTCTGTGTCGAAAGAATAAGCTGAGGAGAAAGAACAATCTCTGCTCGTCACAGGCACTTTGGTATGTTTGTTCTTGTGAGCCACCTACAAGTGGTTTAGTTTCATTAAACCAGTAAGACCCCCACTTTTAATGACAAAACTGTAATTCCTCTAATACATTTAGATAGTTTTAAAACATTACCATGTACATTTCCTCTAATACATCTATATAAGTTTAAAACGTTACCATGGCCAGGGAAACCATTTTTACCACGCAGCTTAGAAGCTATATGTAAAGATCTCTTTGCACAAGTGCATTCTTGGTTTATAGGCGTGCATAGCTTATGAGACCACCTCACCTCACAAGAGGCTTTTGGGTCTCTTAAGTCTGTAAAACATGTTTTTTATAATCTAAAGAGAAAAAAAAATTCAAAGAAAAATTATGTAACAGCATCCTAATCTTAAGGTCAGTCATGGCATCACGTGAGAAAACGCAGGGGGCTTTTATGTGAAACCGATGGCTGCTTGTGTTGGCAGCTGCGCTGACACCTGTGGCCCTGGTGTTGGCCTACGTGCACCCGCTGAATAAAAATAGCGGCCCAGCACATCATCCCCGCTCATCATGACCAGAGGATGGGGTACAAATGCCACAGACGGTTTCCAAGGCGGTTATTTTTTTTTTTACAGAAGCCGCAGCTTTCTCCCAGGGGCAGCTGGTGGACAATAACTGTCAACCTTTCCGTGGAGCAGCCATGAACTTTAAGCGCATCTCGGAGGCTCCTTCAGTCCACCACTCTTGAGGCAGTTCCACCTTACAGCGACCCTGTCCCAGGTTTCCAAGGCTGCAGATCTTCATGGAAACAGACAGCCTCATCTTTCTCCGGGAATGGCTGGTGGCTTTGGACTGCTGACCTTGAGGTTAACTGAACTCATCTCACATTACCTAATGAAAAGTCATCAATTTTAACATTCCATTTGCCCACCCCAGTTGATCGTGTAACGTTTGTAATGCCAACATGTGTCACTCTGCCATGACAGGCTGGAATAACCCTCCAGCTGAATAAGGCTCATGACCAAAGGACTACTGTACATCATCCTAACTGTGACACTGAAGTATGCTCTGCCTAGTGTTTTAGGAAAACTGTAATTTGTGTATCTGTGCATCATTTTATGAAGGAGTTATAATAAGCAATTAAAAATAAACAAAAACATTTCATTTCTAGTAACAAATTTCAGATTAGTATATCACAATTTATGAACCATGACAATTGTCTTAATAGCTTATATTACTCAGTTATAAAACATTTTTCCTTAAGAGCCTTCAACTGACTTTCTGATAATACATAGTTATACTTATGAAAATGTGAACATTTTCAGTGCTTTCTTTCAGCAGGTGTAATCGGAAAGAAATATGCTAATATTGAATAATGTTTCAGCTTTTCTCCTTAAAAAGAAACACAGACTAGGTCACTAATAACTTTTGCTGCAAAGACAAATGACTATTGTCATAAGAGTTTCATAAGTTTTAGAAGAAAATATATTTTCTCGATCCATTTGCTTCTGAATTCTAACCAGCATGTAGACATTATAAAAAATATAAATCTATTTACATGGCATAGTGTACCTTGGTGATATACAAAACAAGGTTATAATAAAGCATTACATACACCCACTTCCTAGTCGAAACCACTGACACACAGTTTTACATAACAATGTAATTAACTATTCCATTATTGTACTTTACAATAACTGGTGAAATACTAGAACAAACTAAACAGATACAATTTAACAATAATATTGGCTATAGTTGCCTAAATATTCCAACATACGATTTATAAAACTATTAAAGTATGTAACACTAACCATATGAAATTATAAAAATAATATTGGTACATTTGTGAGAGTGATGCATTCAAAGTATACACAGAAGGGATCAATACAAGGAAGTAGTCTTCATGTCCAAGAATGATCTATGACACCATACGCGGCCGTGTACCATCTTCAGTGAGATCATACCTGAGAAAGCATATGAAAATTACAGCAAATGCATGGTTAATGTTGGGAAAAATTTATTAAATAAATCTAGGAGGTTTTCTATTTAGTGGTGAGTGGATTTAGGTATACTTACCACTGGGTCCAGCCTTTGGCAAGTTCTTCAGAGGCTAGAGCAACCAATACCTATGGGTTAAAAACAGATCCAATGGTTTGTTCAATTAGGTTGAAGTAATTCTTTTTGTATTTTTCACTATGTCTTCTAATTTCTTTAATCTTTTGTCTTCACCTAGCAATATAACGCGCTCTAACTTTGAAGCTCTAATTTTTCCCCATTTTTCTACTCCTATGATTCACGTAAAGAATATGGTTGCTTATATTTAAAAGGGACTTCCCATATCCAAGTCTTAAAACTAAATGATTAAAAGTCTCAATGGAGCTAATTTATAGGGATATTGAACTAATATGCCATTAATGATAACATAGCTAATTTTGGATTACCTGTATTAATGCTACTATTGACAAAAATGCTACCTGTAATCATGTATTTTCAGTTCCTATCTGTACCAGTGTACCTCCTCTGGTCTAGCCAGACTTGCAAGGTCGAATTCGAGTCATGGTAGTGGGAGCGGGGAGGAAACATTTAGGAACTAGAGGAAAGTTGTATTTCTCGTCGTTGTTACATCGCACCCTGACTGGCTCATCTCCTCCCCAGACCCCTCTGCAAGGGGCTCTCCAGTGGCCTACTAATGGGCTTTGGGTCTTCTCACTCTGCACTCCCCCCATCATTCACTATGGTAAGATTTTTTGTTCTGATGATGCCTTATACCTGATCCCTTCGACACCTCGTGGGTTACATAGGCTGGTGTGCTTTTTCCATGTGGGCTTTGTTGCTTCTGAGTTTGATGGCCGCTTGATTACCTTCAAGCCTTTAAGACCCCAGACGCTATACTTTTTGATAGCCGGGCACCATTATTAAGGAAGATATAATCTTATGCAAAAATTAAATGCGAATATGGATAATGACTAGAAAAATTTCAGAAACTGAAACCAACTATTTGTTAGGAAAGTGAACATTAAAGCCATCTGTTCTTCAACTGGAAGTCTATGAATTGATATGATTAATAAGTCAATAAAATGAATAAATAAAAAGAATGAAAATATCTTCAAAGTGTACTGCTGTCTAGTTGACATAGGTTTCCATGTTCACTATTTTACAAGAAAGCACTAGACATGGAGCAAATCCGCTCCTTTCCACTTCTCTGTGTACGGCCCCAAACACCAGCGCTTTTGGTAAGTGTTTCATTTTTACAAAGTATAAGAACTGATTTGTAAAGGTCCTTAAACACTTACTTTGCCAAGAAGTCCTTTGTCTTTGGACAAGAAACCACCACTGTTCTTTACTGCGACATCTAAGGTTCTCCTTTGCACCTCTGGTAATGAAACACTAAAATCAAAGCTGAAATGGGAAAAAGAAAACCTTATTTAAATCTCTCCATCATTAGGCACTACATTCTTATAAATCAAAGATAGCATTTCTACTTCTGAGATGATTCCAAATGTTATGTTTTTACATAGAGTTCTGCTAGATGTTTTGATCTGGCAGATCAAAGACTCACAGTTGTTTCTTTTTTCATTTTTCATTTTCCTCCCAAATGTGAGAAGATCACAACATCATGTTCACTTATGGTAGTTTCAATAATGAGAACTTGGATGTAATGTATGTCAAAACAATGAATGCCAGACTAGTCCATTAGCTCCGGCTTTTCAAGCGGTTCTTATTTAGTCTTTAGGCTGCTTTATTCTATGTCCAATCAACACACACACACACACACACACACACACACACACACACACACACGGCAGTAGTTTCACAGGAAGGAAAGGCCCCCTGATTCTATGTCCAATCAACACACACACACACACACACACACACGACAGTAGTTTCACAGAACGGAAAGGCCCTCCGAATCACTTTTTAAGGTAAGATGTTGTAAACTACTAGGCCTCCGAACTAACAAGTGCGTGACGCTGGCTGGCTGTGTAACAGGAGCGAGTGGGAGGGACCCTGGCAGACAGAGGAGGTCTATGCTAACTGAACGGTGGTCACCATGAGGCTCAAGTCAGTTGGAACCACGCAAGACTACAGGTAGGCTGTTCCATGTAGACTTTTCTAGCTTCTTTCTGAAGCTGGAGAACCAAATTTATGGAAATTCTCCAAATTTCTAAATATTGAAGATAAGAAATTAAGTTTAATTTGTTAAATAAAATATGTCTACATCCAAGATTTGGCCCATGTTTTTCACTTAAAAAAAAATCAATTTTATTTGGGGCTCATACAACTCTTATCACAATCTATATATATATTCATTGTGTCAAGGACATTTGTACATTTGTTGCCATCATCGTTCTTAAAACATTTGCTTCTACTTGAGCCCTTGGTATCAGCGCCTCATTTTCCCCCTCTCCCCCCACTTTATCCTCCCTCATGAACCCTTGATAATTTATAAATTATTTGTCAGGTCTTATACTGTCCGATGTCGCCCTTCACTCACTTTTCTGTTGTCCATCCTCCAGGGAGGAGGTTATATGTAGATCCTTATAACTGGTTCCTCCTTTCTATGTTTTTCACTTTTTAACACTGGTTTAAATGAAGTATTTGGCATAAAATAAATGTGGACATAAAACAATACTGCTCTTATAAAAATTGTGTTTGTCAATTGATGTGTGTATGGATTGTGATAAGAGTTGTATGAGCCCCTAATAAAATGATTTAAAAAATTGTGTTTGTTTTTGAAAATAGAGTTGTTTTTCATAAAATAGTATGAAATGTTATGGGTTTATTAAAATTGTTATTGAAAATAGATTTATTTTAAAATTCTCAGTATTAATTTATATCCAGAAAATATAAAGAGATATAAACCCATATAAATTAAAAATTTTTAAGGTCATTGATAATTTTATCTTAGTTTACTATTTCTCTTTCAACTGTGTTATGATAATTAGCACTTCTATATAACGTTTAAAATGCCTTTCAATTAAAAAACAAACATGTATACGCTTGCTAAAGTTGCTGGAGTTTTTTTACACTTGAATTTAGATATCATCTAAAGAACAGATAGGATGCATTAATCACTGGTGACCAAAGGTCAGGTGAGCTGTTGGATGACATCAAGGGAATCAGACATGAGGAAAGCAAAAGGTCATTAAAAAGATAGGACAAGAAGAGAAGACCAATAAACGTCAGAAGAGCCTCTGAAAGTTGCTCTTGATTGTAGAACAGCTAACATGAATGGAGGAGATGATGAAGTAAAGGAGTTGAACAGAAGATTTCAAAGAACGGCTCAAGAAGACAAAAGAAAGTATTGCCATGAAATGTGCAAAGACCTGGAAAGCCACAGTGAAGAACATGTTCTGTTTTTCTCAGGCTGAAAGAATGAAGAAAACGATCACGCCTCAAGTAGTAATACTGAATGATTATGAGGGTAAGATACTGAAAGACACAGGAAACATCAAAGGAAGATGAAAGACATACACAGCCACTGGACCACAATTGGTGGACATTCAATATTCCAAGAAGCAGTATAAAATCAAGATTGGATGGTATTGAGAGAAGAGGTCCAAGGTTGGCAAAAAGAAATGAAATTTCAGGATGCAATATTAATGGGAATGTTTTGACAAATATGCAGCACTTGAGATACTCACTTGACCACGCCAAGAAATTTGGAAGACAGCTACCTGAGAGTTACATGTTTGTATCCAATCAAAATGAAAGATGCCTCATTAGAATGTGGAAATTATCACTAGTATCAAATGTTAAGTATAATTTGACTGAAGATAATTCAGAAAACAGTTGCAGCAGTACATTGATAGAGATTTGCCAGAATTTCAAGCCAGATTCAGAAGAGGATGTGAAATAAGGAATGTTATTGTTGACATCAGGTAGAACTGGGTAGAAAACAGAAAATACCAGAAAGATGTTTACTTGTGTTTCACTTGACTATGCAAATGCATTCAATTGTGTGGATCATAACTATGCATAACATTGGGAAGAATGGGAAAGCCAGAAACTTAATTGGGCCCGTGTGGAACCTGTATCCAGACCAAGAAGCAGCAGTTCAAATTGAACAAGGGAATAGTAAGTGGTTTAATATCGGGAAAAGTGTGCATCAGGGTTGTATCCTTTTATCCTATTTATTCAATGTGTATGCTGCGCAAATAACCTGAGAAACAGAACTTTATGAAGAATGTGATACTAGGATTGTAGAAAGAGTCATTAACAATCTTTAATATGCACAAGCACAGCAGGGAATGCTGAAAGTGAAGAGGATTTGAAGCACTTATTGATAAACATCAAATATCCCTCAGTATAGATTACACCTCTATAAAAAGAAAACAGGTATCTTCCCAACTGGAGCAATATGCAACATTATGACAAACGAAAGACTGATGCTCTCAAGCATTTCACTATACCTGAATCTACAGTCAACGCTCATGAAAGTAGCAGTCAAAAAAAATCAAAGGATGTTGAGCTGTATTGGAAAAATCTGCTGCAAAAGACCTTTAAATGTGTCCAAAAGCAAAATATATCAATTTGCCGATTAACGTGTACCTGACTCCATTTTCAACTGCCTCATGTGCATGTGAATTCTGGGCAGTGCATAACACAGAAGAAAGAAGAATGGGTGATTTTGAATTATAGTGTTGGTGAAGAATCTTGAGTATATATTATAGACTGTCAAAAGAACAAACTGACTTGGATAGAGTACAGCCGGAATGCTCCTTAGAAGTGAAAATGGTGAGATTTCAACTTACATACATACATACATGTAAGTCGAAATCTCACTATATATATTTATAGTTTAATTTTTCTGAAACTAGCTCATGTGTCACAAAATAATTTAACTCAATTTTACTTTTCCTTCTTTTGTAACCACTCATCTCACATATTGTAGACATGCTGTCAGGTTATGTTTGGTAAAGCACAGGGTCGGTGAACAGGGGAAGGGCTGACACAGTGACTCTAGCAATGGGCTCAAGCACAGGCGCCATTGTGAGGCTGGTGCAGGACCAGACAGCGTTTCCCTTCGCTGTGCACAGGGCTGCGATGGGTCAGAACTGACTCGAGGGCACCTAACAACAGCAACAGCAGCAACACAACTTTCAATACAACATTGTTTTAAAAGTTTTACTCATCATGTATTAATCATGATGTTTAAAATTTGTTAATTCATTCCATCATTATTTTCTCACTTAAGTAAAATCTTATACCTTTGATCAAACACTGGATTCAATGTTTTCTTTGAAACATGGGTTTTTCTTCTTCCTGACCTCCTCTTGTCTGGTAATAAATACATCCGGACATAAGGATCCGATCCATCTTCAGAAAAGGCAATAAGATTCCTTTTAAGACAAGCCAGAGAACACTAAGTATTAGAATTCAAGAAAATTAGAATTAGCAACATATTCATATTCATTCAATTTTACGTGTATCTAAAAACTGAAACGCAGACAAAGATGTCGTGGATAACTAGTCATAGGGTATGCTTTTTCGTTACCCCACATTTGCTGTTCTGCTTCTCTCCCAAACCCTTTTCTTCTATACCTTCCAAAGTCTTCCTTTGTTTTCTCTGAGGAAGGAAACATGAGTTAGCCTGACAGCCAAATAAACTGGGCTCCTGTGAGACTGATGTGAGCATTCTGCCAAGAGAACACGGATCCTCACTGTCCCTGAGGCTGCTTTTCCTACTCACGGCTCTTTAGCTAAGTCCTTCACAGACTAGGACCTACCTGCTTTATGAAGCTCAAATTGCTTTCTTCTTATGACAACCTGTAGGAGTCTAAGATATGACTACAGACAGCCATCTCAAATGGTTCATTTACCTACTGACTTGAATGTCTACTTAGGGACTGTTTGGACTCTTTTAAAACAGTCTTGCTTCTATGTCTCCCACAGTAACTATCTAGTACAGGAACATAAATGGTGTTCAAAAATATTAACTGGCTTAAACTATATTTAATTAATCATATTTCTAAACATTCTTAGTTAATTTTCTTGTTTCCAGTATCTTTTTATACTCTCCAAAACTTATAGCATATTTTTAAGTACTAAGAGATAGACAAGTCACACACAGAAATTAGTAAACCCATATCATCATTATTAATCAAATATCAATTAAAGCACTATTGTCCTTTGGCCTTATACTTCAAACCAACCACAAATGAACTGATTCTAACTCATGGCCATCCCTGTGTGTCAGAGCAGAAGGGCACAGAAGCATCAATGGCCATGACGTTTGGGAAGCGGATTGCCAGGCCTGTCTTCTGCTGCTCCTCTCAGTAGATTCCAACTCTTGACTTTTTGCCTAATAGTTGCATCCTTAACTGTCTGCATCAATCAGGGACTTTTGTGCTTAGGAAGTACTCAACTAGAAGACCAAAGTTTGGCAGTTCAAACACACCCCACCCCTTTAAAAAAAATAAATTGTTTTGTTGGGGCTCTTACAGTTCTTATAACAATCCATACATCAATTCTATTGATCACATTTGTACATATATTGCCATCATCATTTTCAAACCATCTTCTTTCTACTTGAGCCCTTGGTACCAGCTCCTCTTTTTTCCGTCCCCACCCTCATGAACCCCCGATAAATTACAATCATTTTCATACCTTATACCATCCAGTGTCTCCCTTCGCCATTTCTATTGTTAGTTCGCCGGGGTGTTTTATAGTGGATCATTGTGATTGGTTCCCCCTTTCTCCCCTTTTTCCCATACCTCCCCCTACCCTCATGGTATTGCTGCTCCCATTACTGCTCCTGAGAAGTTTATCTGTCCTGTGTTGAGAGCTCGTATCTGTACCAGGGTATATGCTCTGGTCTAGCTGGATTTGTAAGGCAGATCTGGGGTCGTGACAGTGGGGGAAGGAAGCATTAAAGAACTAAGGGGATGTTGTGTTTCTTCAGTGCTATACTGTACTCTGTCTAACTCGTCCCTTTCTTGTGACCCTTCTGTGAGGGATGTCCAATTGTATACAGATGGGTTTTGGGTCTCCACTCTGACTCTCTTCATTCCCACGGATATGATTGTTTTGGATTTTCTGATGGCGAATACCTGATTCCGTCGACACCTCATGATCATACGTGTTGGTGTGCTTCTTCCATGTGGGCTTTGTTGCTTTTCTGCTAGTTGACCGCTCGTTTAACTTCAAGTCTTAAGACCCCAGATGCTATATCTTCTAATAGCCATGCACCATCAGTTTTCTTCACTACATTTGCTTATGCACCCATTTTTACTTCAGTGATCGTGTTGGAAAGGTAAGCATCACAAAACGCCAAGTTATTAGAACAAAGTGTTCTTGCATTGAGGGAGTACTTGAGTAGAGGCCCAAAGTCCATCTGCTACTTTAATACTTAACATATAAATATATGTATATAGACCTATATCCTTACTGTTATATCTTAATGTATATACATATATACATGCCTATATTTATAACTCTATAAATGTCTTTTGCCTCCTAGTTCTTACCTCTATTTCCTTTTAGTTTCTTCGTGTCCCCCTATCATGTTCAACTTTCATTCGGCCCTCAGTATTTCCTCTTGGTTGCATTGCCCTTGATCAAACCTACCCGCTCCTCACCATTGATTTTAGATCTCTTGTTGTTCCCTTCCCCACCTCCTACGTTCCTCTCCCAACTGTTGATCGCATTGCTTTCTCCTTGGGATTGATGATCCTGCCTATCTTATACAGATATACAGAAAGAAACGGAAAAAAACAAAAAGCCTATAAATAGTTCCAGGCCTGTCTGCTGACCCTTATGAATGTTTTCCGATTGGGTCTGATGAGTTGCCAAGCCCTGCCCCCTGAAGTAGAAGTCTATATTTGGGATTCCTTGGGGACTTCATTGCTTTGCTCCCCTTACTGTTCTGTTTTACTCCCTTCGTGTTTCACCCCAGTGGGCCACATCCCACTTGAACGCTCTATGGAATACCTAGGATCAGTGTGAGTTGGAATTGACTGGAAGGCAACTAATACCCACAATAACATTTTATATTTATATAAGTAACACACTGAAAAAGCTCAAAAATGTTCCTGATTATTGGGGGTGGGAAGGTGAGAGAAGAGGTACATCTGTAACCCGTACACTTGGAAAGCCACTGTCAATCGGTATCTTTTTTTTGAAAGGTGAATGGCTGTATCTATCATGAGCCCATAAACTTTTTTTTACCTTTGGATTGATAAATCTAATCCAAGGAATTTAATCCTAATAGATACTTTAACACAATATGTTCATGATTATGTTCCATGTAATACAGAGACAATCAAAACAACCAACAATAGGGAGTGGCTAACTAAATTATAGAAGAGCAATTTAAGGACTATTATAAAGTAATTCAAATGATTGTACATACAAACAAAATATTTATGAAACAATGTTAGGAATAAAAAAGGAGTAGAAACTTGTACACCAGCATTGTAACAGTAGAAATCATAGGCTTGTAAAGAAAGAGCATAAGGTAATACAAATTAAATAAATCTCTGTGTGTACATATATGTACCCAGGCCTGTAAAGCGCCATTGTGACACAGTGATTACAGTGGTCAGCTGTTCATGGAAGGTCGGCAGTTGGAACCTGCCAAGTGCTCTGAAGGAGAAGCGGCAATTGGCTTCCCTAAAGATTTACAGCCTTGGACGCCTGAAGGGAGACTCCATTCTACATAGTGAGTCACAGGATCTCTATGAGACAGACTCAATTGGACAGCAAAAGCTTTATGTTGCAAGGGCAACATAATTATTGTTTTTTCCCCCCTAAAATTGCCTTCATCATGACTATATTTTGTTTTTCTTGTCAATAACTTGAATGATTCATCCTAATGTTTTACTTTCTCTGTTCAGAGTGGCTTTCTCACCAATCCTTGGAACGCCCATGTCTTTTTTGACATAGGCAAAGATTTTCTTAACTTTGTTCTCTAGCACCTTGTGCTTTTAAAATATGCATTTCTAGGAGTACAAAAAAGGCAACAGATACATACTGACAAAACAAAATTTCTTTTTTCAGTTTGCTCCTGTTTCTTGTGAGGGAAGAAATTTTAGCTAATCTAAATCAATAAATGTGTGACATTCATGCCTCGGCACTCCCTCTTCCCCTCAACATCGAAACCCCAATCTCCCACAATACAGAACCGAGAAATTTCACATGTATCCTCTGTGTATACAGCGATGCACAAGTGTATCGTCTTAGTCTGTAGAGTATTACAACTCCTGAAAAAGTCAATACGGATTTATTAATACCAGCTATACTGGGGTAATTGCTTTGCCTTTGAGAAATGAACTATATATGTATGTTTGTTACCTGTAAATGTTACCTTGCTACATTGTTTTTATACGCTGCAATAACAAGTAAAGAAACTGGGGTGCTTATGCCACCCGATAGGCTTACCTGCAGGAATGCACAACCACAATAAGCTTGTTTCTCTGAGAGCTGTGCCGTATTGTCAACTGAATCTGTCCAAGTGGAGACTGCCCCAATGTTGTTCCACTGTGACAAACAAAGCAGAGCGGTCAGCTTTTCCCGTGTCATTTGTACAATATATACAGTAACATAATTTTCATTCATGTAAACTAAAAGGCCAATCTCTGGAATCAAAGGGAATTTGTATGTGATGTGAACCTTGAGTTTAAGTCAACCAGTTGAACTTGTATTACACTTGGTGGTTTTAGCATGACTTAATTATTCATGATCAACAGTTTTTCAGTTAGGGCTCAAAGTAAAAATGAGACATACAGGTTTTATTTATTACAAACAAATTTTGCCGTCTTTGTCAAGTGATGTCTGATCTGTAGCTACCCAAATCTTGCATATCCTCTCTCAAAATCATATATAAATCACTTGCTCTATTTTTAACTATCCATAAAGATAGCAGTTCAAACCCACAAGTGGTTCTGTGGGAGAAAGATGTGGTGGTTTGTTTCCGTGAAGATTTATAGCCTCAGAAACCCTATGAAGCAGTTCTACTCTGTCCTTTAGGATTGCTATGCATAGGAATCAAATGGACAGTAAGGGTTTTTTATGATAGCAAAATCCCTTCACTTTGATTTCCCTCTGTTCCAGTGAAGCAAAAACTACCAAGATTGGTGAACTAACTGGCCAACAGCAGCGCTGGCTCAATGGTTCTCAAGATCACTTGGCCCATTCCTTAACACAGCTCCTGAGAAAATGGTTACTTGTTTAAAGTTCAACTTTCTTTTGGAGCAAGAATGACAGAAACAGATGATTCTTAAAAAAAAAAAAAAGATGTTAGAACATAAGAATGAAAATAAAAACCCCGCGTGATGATCAAAGAAGGGTCTTAATAGACCTCCATTGGTGGCCAGGAAGGACATGCCTTCTAAGAGCTCAGTAATTATCGTATGCTTTTCCTAACTCTTTAGGAGTAAACATGTATTTTCACCTCTGCTTCTGTTTCTTTTACCGTATCTGTATTACTCAACACACCTCTTACAACAACAAACATGAAGAATCATTTCAAAGGTCAGCTTTATTCTTTCCACTAGGAGGAAAAGTTAACATCTGGAGCTCCTGATAACTATGGATACTTTTCCTCCGTAGTTAAATAAAAGCATTAACGAATGCATCTATGAATCATGGGTCTTAAATAAGAAAGCAACACAAACACCTAAAGACAAAACAAAAATCCAGTAGGTTGTTGTAAAGGAATGTTGACTAAACATGAAAAAATTGGACCTGTTCTTTCTTACATATTAAAAGTCAAACTACTGCCAAAATATTGTCATATTAAAATTCAAAAGATTAAAATTCTTGGGAGTTCTTCAGATTTAAGAATTTAAAATGTAAGAATTCTTAAAATTCTTCAGATTTTGTTCCCTAATCTCAGGCTAGGTGTTTTGTATTAGCCCGATTTTCTAAGTTTTGTATTAGCCCGATCCTAATGTAGCTGGCAAAGAAGTCCTGCTGGTAAGTGGTTCAAACACACTCATTGAAAGGCCTGGAGACTGCTCCTGTGAAAAGTACAGCCTAACAACCATGTGGATAAGTTCTATGTTGTAAACTGAGATCACTATGATTTGAAACTGACGGAGTGAGCAAAACTGTACCCCAACACCAGCTTCTTTAGTTGACGAGATTACTTTTCCTTTCTTGTAATAGATAAAATGCGTACTCTAATTTTGTTGTTAAAATAGTATTTGATTTACTTCTCAAGTTGTCGCAATCTCTGCCGAAGTTCCTGTGTGGCAATAGGCAATGATATATCCGAGGCTATGCTTGGTGTGGGCTCCTTCACAGAGATGTGACTTGGGGAGTACGCAGAGTTGGGGGCCTGGAGGCTGGAGGAGCTTCTGCTGAGATCCCGTGGCCACTGAGGGCTGGCATTAGGTGGCTGGTCTTTCTCTTCCATGTCAGTCTTTTTACTGCCATCAGTTATTGGTGTGGACGGAGCTGTTTTGCTGCCCTCGGGAGCTGGAGATACAGAAATCTGAGATTTGACAGATACTTTTCTCCCTTCTTTGGAAACAGACGGTCTTTTCACTTGAGCTGAATGTTGGTGATCTGGAGATCTTTCTTGCTTTTCAAGGTTAAGTACCTAGGGGTGGAAATTAACAACAGCAAAAATTATAATCAGTGATACTGGTTAATATCCTGATATTTGAACAGTTTAGGAATATATTCAGTTGTACAAGTATTGTTAAGATTGGACACAAAACTGTTTTCAGTAGATCCCCCCAAAACATGTATTGTAAATCTTCACCCTAATACTGGTGGCTACAATCCTATTGGGTGTGGGTGGGTTGGTTTTCTTTGTTATGCTAATGAGGCAGTATCAGTGTATGGTGTGTCTTAAATTCAAACAAACAAAATTAAACAAGCAAGCTGACTCAGGGAAAGAGATGCCACACCACATGATCACGCAGGAGTCAAGGGACAGAAGTGGAACATTTGCAACTATCTATTAGTGAGTTTTAACATTTTCCATTTATCTGCCAGTTTTACTTTTAACAGTACCTTAGGTATTTACAAATTAATCATGTCTATTTCAGAGAAATAAAATTTTCTTACTATAAATTCTATCTTACAGAATTTTTATCAAAACCTATCTCCTGAATGACTCAAAATTTAGCCTTAAAAGAAAACTCTGTTGATACAGACAGCAATACTTTCTCAGTCAACAGATAAAAAGGTTGGCCGGACTCATGTGAAAGCACAATGAATAATCCTGGAAATGGATAAGGTCCTGGAGAAAATACCAAGAGCATTGCTATAAAATTATAGAAAGATTTCATAAAAAATCAAAATGTGAAGCTATTGTTTCTCCATATATCCTCTACCTAGATCTATATCCTCCCGAAAACAGTGTTTCTAGCTCTCTAACCTTTCCCCCAAATAATTCTGCAATGGCAATTTACGATCTCAAATCGGCAGTGTTGGCATCTTCTAATTGTGTTCTTTGAGTTTGGGGAACAAAGAGAAGTCTGAAGCTTGGGGAGCTCCAAGGCTGTAAAGTGGATGGGGTAAAGTCTCCCAGTGCAACAGCCATACAACAACTCCCAAAGAGCGAGCAGGCGCCTTTTTATTTTTTTAAGCAGGCGCCTTTGGTTGAAAAAACAAAACAAAACAAAATCATTGGTGTAACTTCTGGCCTTTTTCTCACCAATGCAGCTTTCCATTTTCTTAAAACTTCTTCCCAATAAGCTTCCACTATCATCTTGTGACCGTGAAGGATATTTAATATAAGCTTTTTTGGATCCCATAAAAGAATCCCAATAACCTACTGAGCTGACATCCCTACGGAAGATCAGATCCCCTCGAACACACGGTTTTGATTGGATTTCGCTCTTTAAATCATGTTTATGAATCCAAGATTCATCTCGTTAATATTTGTTCCATGAAATTATCATTTGCGTGATCTTACTGTAAGAGATTGACAGAAAGGTCACCTCTTCGAGTGAGTTGCTCATTGTACAACACTTTTGGCACCTATTTATTTAGCTGAAACCTTGGAGGCCAAGATATGCACTGGAAATGGAAAATTTCAAACTTCAGTAGCTATTACATAATGGTAATTCTATAGCCTTCTTTTACTAGTTTCTGAACTTTGAACAGTTTTTCCATTCATCAAGGTTGATGATTTCCTCTCATTTGGCTTACCTTTGTGGTCTTCCTGACCCTTCCTTAAAATGCGTGATCCATCTAGAAATTTTTGTCTTATGTGGGGTAGCATTCCCATAAACTAGTAAGGTTCAATAATTTGGGAAGATGTCCTTTTGAGTTTTATTTACCTTTTGACAGTAGCTTTGACCAAAGACTATACTCATGCATGTTTGAGTGGGAACCCTAATAGCAGTACCTTTTTTTACCCCACCTCATTTATCTTTAATTATCGCTCATCTGTGCTCCTGTAACATTTAACAATATTTTCTGCTCAAAACAAACAGATCTCCTAGCACTCTCTAACACTATTGTTGCCATTTTAATAAGATTAACTGCTTTTTGTAAGCATGGTGATATCTATATCTCTAAATTAGCACCAAAAAGTATCACTATTAGTATCCCATTCCTTCCCCATCAACTACTATTTTTATTGAAAAAGACTATGAAATACCCTGAGGGCAATCTTCATTTTTATAGTGCTGTTTGGACCTGAATTACTAAGTTGGAATCGCTGGTTCATAGTCATATCATCACTTTCAAGCAGCTGGTTGAGAGGAATCTTCAAATTCCCCAGAGAACACTGATGTTCCTCATCCTTCACCTGCAAAAACCAGGGCAGAAAACATAACTTAGTTATGAGGCTGAAATTTACAGGAAACATAGAAATATCTATAACATGTTACTGAAAGTATATGTCAGTCATATTCTTTGAAACAGTGTTTCCATAAATGATTAACATAGTATGACACCTTCTTAGGACAAAATAACAATTTATAAATTATCAAGGGTTCATGAGGGAGGCGGAGCAGGGAGGGAGGGGAAAAATTGAGAAGCTGATGCCAGGGGCTTAGGTGGAGAGGAAATGTTTTGAGAATGATGAGGGCAATGAATGTACAAATGTGCTTTACACAATTGATGTATGTATGGATTGTGATAAGAGTTGTATGATCCCTAATAAAACGATTAAAAAAAAAACCTTCTTAGGAAGTTATAAAAACTTATAATGGGCAAAGAATCCTTATTGCATATGCTTTTTCTATTCCTTACACAACATGTAAAAACATATGTAATGTGTTTTATGACTCAAGAGAAACTTGAACTAGGAGGTAGTATCTATAAACTTACAGATTGGAAAAAGACATTGCTTTTTTTTTCCTTCAAGCTGTGTGAAGGGCAATAAATATTAGTAATGATGTATAAAGTTTCAATGGGCAACACTTATTTATGGTGAAAAATAATTTATAAATGTGTTTTTAGCCTTCCCTATTCAAAATAGACATGGTTGCTTTAGAAATTTACAATATCTACTTTAAACAAATAGGCTTGATTTAGAATGCACGTTAATTGTATTCAGTGTTATTGTTGTAACAAGAATTATTCCTGTTAGGTGGCTGCAGTTCAAAATACAGTACTACCAGTTGTCTGTCAGGTGGTCGTTCTATAGTAGCTAGTGTTGCTATAATGCTGAAGGCTCTTGTCACTAGTGTTTCAAATACTAGCAGGGTCACCCCAAAGTGAACAGGTTTCAGCAGAGCTTCCAGACTAAGAACAGATTAAGAAGAAGAACTCCCTATCTCCACTTCAGAAGAATTAGGTACTGAAAACCCCATGGATAGCATCAAAACATTGTCAGTTACTGAAAAAAACCAATGAAAAGAAGCAGAACATTGTCAGAGAGTACCAGAAGATGAGCCCTTTGTGTCAGAAGGCATTCAAAACATGACTGAGAAAGAGCTGCCTTCTCAAGGTGTGGTCAACCATAGCAATGTGGATTGAGCAAAGCCTTCCGCACCTTCATATGTTGATGAGAAGGACACAAAATGGGAAGAAACCACTGCAAGCATCAATTAATAATTGGAACTGGGAATGTATGAAATATGCATCCAGGAAAATTGGAAGTGTTTAAAAATGAAGTGGAATGCATAAAGACCAATATTCTTGGCATTAGAGAGCTGAAATGAACTGTGACTGGCCATTTTAAATTAGAAAATCATATGGTTTCCCACGCCAGGAATGACACAATCAAGAGGAATGGCATTGCATTAATCATCAAAAAAGATATTTCAAGAGCTATCCTGAAGTACAATGCTGTCTGTGATAGGATAATATCTATCAGCATACAAAGAAATCCAATCAATATAACTATTTTTTAAATCGTTTTATTAGGGGCTCATACAACTCTTATCACAATCTACACATATATCAATTTTGTAAAGCACATTTGTACATTCATTGCCCTCGTCATTCTCAAAACATTTGCTCTCCACTTAAGCCCCTGGCATCGGTCCTCATTTTCCCCCCTCCCTCCCCGCTCCCTCATGAGCCCTTGATAATTTATAAATTATTATTTTGTCATATCTTACCCTGTCCGACGTCCCCCTTCACCCACTTTTCTGTTGTCCTCCCCCAGGGAGGAGGTCACATGTGGATCCTTGTAATTGGTTCCCCCTTTCCAACCTACTCTCCCTCTACCCTCCCAGTATTGCCACTCACACCACTGGTCCTGAAGGGATCATCCGCCCTGGATTCCCTGTTTCCAGTTCCTATTTGTACCAGTGTACATCCTCTGGTCCACCCAGACTTGCAAGGTAGAATTCGGATCATGATAGTGGGGGTGCGGGGGAGGAGGGAGCATTTAGGAACTAGAGGAAAGTTGTATTTTTCATCATTGCTACATTGCACCCTGTCTGGCTCGTCTCCTCCCCGAGACCCCTCTGCAAGGGGATCAATATAACTATTATTAAAATTTATACACCAACCACTAAAGCTAGTGATGCAGAAATTTAAGAATTCTACCAATGTCTTCAGTCTAAAATTGATGAAACAGTCAGTCGAGATGCCTTCATAATTATTGGCAACTGGAATACAAAAGCTGTAAACAAAGAAGTAATAATAGTTAGAAAATAGGTCTTGGTGATAGAAAGAAGTTGGAGATTGCATGACAGGATTTTTTAAGACCAGAGTTCTTCTTCACAAATATCTTTTTTCAACAATACAAATGGCAACTATATACATGCAGATTTCTCCGGATGGAATACAACGAAATCAAATTGACTACATCTGTGGGAAGAGACAATCGAGAAGCCAGCAACCATATGTACAACAAAACGATGCACCACTTGTTCCTGTGACATCCTCATAATTGTTCTTACGTTTCAGCCCACTGCTAGCCACTGTGCCAATCCACAAGATCAACATCAGCAGGAAAACCAGGTGAAGGGTCAACTGAGGAACAGGCCATCAACTGCTCATATGTACGCTCAGGCTGAAGTTGAAGCAAATGAAAACAGTCCACAAGAGCCAAAACAATACGACCTTGAGGACATCCCACCCTACTTTCGAGGGCACCTCAAGCACAGATTAGATAAATCAAACACTAACAACAGAAGATGAGAAAGACCAAAGTGGATGTTAAGAAGAGACTCTGAAACTAGTTCTTGCTCATAGCATAGCTAAGCCAAATAGAAGAAATGATGAAGTCAAAGAGCTGAACATAAAATTTCAAAGTGCAGTTCAACAAGACAGAGCAGAATATTAAAATTAAGTGTGCAAAGACCTAAAATTATAACCTCCCCCCCAAAAAAACCAAAAAACCCACAACACTCTCAGCATATTGTAAACTGACAGAACTAAAGAAAAAATTCAGGACTCGAGTTGAAATACTGAAAGTCTATGGGCAAAATATTGAATGATGCAAAAAGTATCAGAAGAGGATGTGAATAATACAGTCACTGTATCAAAAATAACTAGTCGACATTCAACCATATCAAGAGGCAGCCTATTAGCACGAACCAATGGTACTGAAGTAAAACGTTCAACTGCACTGAAATCATTTTCCAAAAGTAAGACTTCAAGAATTATGGAATACCAAGTGAAAGAGATCCATATCTGTGCCCATTCCAAAGAAAGGTGACCCAACAGAATGCTCACACTACAGAACCAACGTCATTAATATCACAAGTAAAATTTTCTGAAGATCATCCAACAATGGTTGCAGCAGTACATTGACAGGAAGCTGCCTGAAGTTCAGGCTGGCTTCAGAAAAGGATGTGGAACAAGGGATATATATCATTGCTAATGTCAGATGGATCTTGGCTCAAAGCAGAAAATACTAGAAAGTTTACTTGTGTTTTATTGACTATGTGAAGGCATTTGACTGTATGGGTCATAACAAACTATGAATAGCCTTGAGAAGAATGGGAATTCAAGAACACTTCGTTGTGCTCATGGAGCACCTGTAAATGGATCAAGAGGCAGTCGGGCAAACAGAACAAGGGAATATTGCATGGTTTAAAATCTGGAAAGGTGTGTATCACGGTTGTAGCTTATCACTACACTTATTCAAATCTGTATGCTGGGAAAATAATCAGAGAAGCTGGCTTATATGAAGAAGAATATGGTATCAGGATTGGAGGAAGGCTTATTAACAACCTGCAATATGCAGATGACATATTGCTTGCGGAAAGTCAGAACTTGAAGCACTTGCTAAGGAAGATCAAAGATTGCTGCCTTAAATATTCAAATGTACATATGTACCACATAGGTATCACAACCCACTGTAAAGAAAACCAAAATCCTCACAACTGGAACCATGGGTCACATTATCATAAATGAGAGAAAAGCCTGAAAGGTGGATAAATTTCACCAAGGTACACAAGAAAATATTGTGTATAATTACTGAAAGCTACGATTACTGAAGACTATAGAATATTGCTGAGAGAAACTAAGGAATTCCTAAGAAAATATTGGACAACCCTGTAGGATTAGGGGAAAACTGCTCCTGTGAGTTTCTGAAATTGTAACTCTTTATTGGAGTAGAGAGCCCAGAGACTAGATAGCAGTGGGGGGAGGATGTTAGGAAAATAGATCTATGTACATGTATTTATATGTTAAGTATCAAGGTAGCAGATGGACATTGGGCCTCTACTCAAGTACTCCCTCAATGCAAGAACACGTTGTTCTAATAATCTGGCATTTCATGATGCTTACCTCCCCGACAAGTTCACTGAAGAAAAAATGGGTGCATAAGCAAATGTGGTGAAGAAAGCTGATGGTGCCCAGATATAGAAAGATATAGCGTCTGGGGTCTTAAAGACAAAAAAGCGGCCATCTAGATGAGAAGCAACAAAGTCCACATGGAAGAAGTACACCAACACATAAGGTGTTGATGGGATCAGGTATCAGGCATCAAAGACCCAGAACAAAAAAATCTTATCAATGTGAATGTGGGGGAGTGCAGAGTGGAGACCCAAAGCCCATCTGTAGACAACTGGACACCCTCTTACAAAAGCATCACAAGGAAGAGACGAGTCAGTCAGGGTACAGTATAGCACCGATGAAATATACAATTTTCCTCTAGTTCTTTAATGTTTCCTCCCCCACTACTATCATGAACTCAACTCTACCTTATAAATCTGGCTAGATCAGAGGATGTATAATGCTACAGGTAAGAGCTGGAAACACAGAGACAGATAACCCCCTCAGGACCAATAATGAGAGTAGCAATACCAGGAGGGGAAGGGGAAGGTGGGGCGAGGAAGGGGAAATGGATCACAATGTAGATCACAATGATCTATCTACATATAACTTCCTCCCTGGGGGATGGACAACTGAAAAGTGGGTGAAGGGAGGAGACAATAGTCATTGTAAGACATGAAAAAAAAATTTTATAAACTATCAAGGGTTCATGAGGGAGGGAGGTTACAAGAGGGAGGGGGAAAAATGAGGAGCTGATACCAAGGGCTCAAGTATAAAGAAAATGTTTTGAAAATGATGATGGCAACAAATGTACAAATGTACTTGACACAATGTATGTACATATGTATTGTGAAAAGAGCTGTATGAGCCCCTAAAATGATTTAAAAAAAGAGAAAATAGTGTGAGTTATGTTTTCTATGAATTGAAGATTTAGTACTGCTAAAATGTCAAATCTTTACAAATTGATCTATATTTTCAATGTAAGCTCCATTAAAATCCCAGCCAGTTTTCCATAGATATTGATAAAATGATGCAAAAAAGTCATATGGACTGCAAAGCAACCAAAAGAATTATTAAAATGAACAAAGATGAAGATCTTCCACTACTTTATTTTAAAACAGCATAAAGCATTAGTTATAATGACAGTTGGTACTGGCACAAAGACAGACATTGTGTGTGACTGTTCGGAGCTGATTTGTTATAGCCCTAAACTGGAAACAACTTAACCTTTTATCAACAAGTGACTGAATAAACAACTGTCAAAAATCCATACTATGGAATGCTACTCAGCAATAAAAAAGAACACACTGTGGATATCTGTAACAACATAGATGAATTTCAAAATAACTACTGTGAAGAACACAGAAAATAGCTTCAGATTTTGATTTTTGAAGGACATATTTCTATAATATTATAGCAATGCTTTTTGCACTTTCTCCAATACCCCCAATTACTTTTGAGCATTTCCAGGATTATTCATTGTGCTTTCACATGAGTCCGGCCAACCTTTTTATCTGTTGACTGAGAAAGTATTGCTGTTTGTATCAACAGAGTTTTCTTTTAAGGCTAAATTTTCAAAAGTCATTCTATTTATACAAAAGTTCTAGTAAGTGTGAACAATACTGACGATGGCAGATATACGACATGTTACCTGGGAGAGAAATAAATGACAAAGGAGATGAAGACACTTTGGGGAGTAAAAAGTGATGCATATGCTAATCATATTAATTGTTAACATGTGTCAGTCACAATCTACCAAACTGCATACTTCAGATATGTGCTCTTTATTGTTTGCCAACTGTATTTCAATTAAGGTGACCAGACGTCCCGCTGTTGGCGGGACAGTCCCGATTTTTAACAATTTTTCCCATGTCCCGCGGCATTTTAAAAAAGTCTGGGAAAGAATGCACGACAAGCTAGGGTATACGGTTTTCGGCTTCCATGTGGCTATTTCACCCGGATATGAGTTTTATCAATGGTGTCCTGCTTTTGTCCTGCTTTACCAATGTTAAAATCTGGTCACCTTAAATTTCAATGTATCTGTTAAAAATCACAAATGAAGTACCTCAATTTCAAGGTCCTGTCGCTTCGGATTGTGAATGAAGAAAGTGAAGTTTTCTTCCCACACTGGTTCATTGGTTTTATAACGAATCTGCAAATAATACCCAAATGTCAGCGCTGATATTTTCTGTGCTGTGGAAAAGGGCTTACTCACATAACATGCTCAGGTGCTTCAAAAATCTCAAACTATCTGCTATCAAGGTGATTCTGCCCTATAGGGCCAAGAAGGACTGCCCCCGTGGGTTTCCAAGACTAACTCTTTACAGGAGTAGAAAGCCTCATCTTTCCCTTGGAGCAGTTGGTGGTTTTGAACTGTTGACCTTGCTGACCCAATATATAACCCACTATGCCACCTGGGTTCCTGTTTAGGAGCTTAGGCTAACCTTAATGAAATGCCAAGACATATTTACTGAGCATATACATGTATATATATGCAAGGATGGTTATCAAACCAACTTCCATAAATTCACAACCTATATGTTCACCCTAATGACAAACACTAAAATTTAATCTTAACTTGGCATTAGTCTTCCAGAGTCTAGCCATTGTTGTATGCCTCTTAAATTGTCAACAATTGAAAAATGAACAGTGGTCTGTAACAAAATTTTTGAAAATGCTCTCACATTATGAAAAACGAGCTAATTACAGCAGTAACAATACTTTCACTTCTTAAATATGAATATAATCATATTTGTTGACCCATGCCAGCGCTGAGATGCTTACACGCTCACTGATTCAGCTTTCCTCCTGCAGTCAGTGTCATTGCGTGTGTTTTGTGAGATGGAGGAGGACTTTGTGGATTGGTATTAGACAAATGTGCTAATGTTGTACTTGTGGCCTTGGACAGCACTGGATTGGGATGCTTTCTTGATGTACACTCACCCTTTATATAAAACTCTGTTATGCATATGGGTTTCTGTGGATTTGGTTCTCTAATGTACCCAAACTAACACACCCTCTTATGGGTATTATCTTCCCCTTTAACTGCTAACCCATAAAACCCCAAATTTATTTGGCCTACTGCCCCCTTTTCAGAAAACAAAACAAAACAAAAAACCCATTACTCAGCACTACCTGAAAATTAAAAATTTTTGTACTATAGCCTATAATTCTGGATAAGTGTAGCTATCTGCTTGTGAGCCCCTCACTCCTCTCCCCGACGCTGGATTGGTCCCGTAATCAGCCCCGCCAGGGGATGGCACCTCAAACTTTAGGATTCACTGCAGCCTAGGACCTCCTCTTCTCTCCCTCCTCTTCCCATCCCTGGTAAGCATCAAACTCTGTTTCTTGTGGTATACAAAGCTCTCCTTGATTTTCTTTTAAGTAGCAGTGGTGCCTTAGAAAAGCTTTCTGGTTGTGTCTGATTGACTAACTTTACTCAGCATAATGTCCTCTGAGTCCATACACGTCTAATTAGAGCTGGACGTTTCACATCTAAGTTTGGCAAGAGTGAAAAATATGAAAAACTGAAAACAAGTTAAAATATTAGTACCTTACCTTACTCTCTTGAGCCATGTGTCCAACTGACATTTGAACAAGAGGATTTGGGTTGCTGTTTATTTTCTTCCCTGACTATCCAAATACAAACAGACAAAAGAACAAACAGTCATAATAAGCAAACAAACTCACATTGTGAGATGAGTTTTATTAAAAAATTAAATCATTAGCTCATGTAATAAATATTTCTATTAACTTTGATATGTAAGCTACAGGAAATACCTAGGGACAATTTAATTGGGAAGTAACGGCTCAGCCCACTCCAAAGCAATAGCTGTATGTGCCATGAAATGCGTTCAGGAAGCTTCCTTTTGTGTAGCCTTTTAAAATGCTATCATACTCTATTATTAAAGCTAGCTACTTTGGACAACTTAAATAGTCTGAATATCTCTAATGAATATCTCAGTTCTCAAAATATAGCCAAGATAACAAAATGAATAAACATGTATGGAAACAGAAAAACACAAGGAAGTACAAATAAAAGAAAATGTAATTCAGAATATTCCTTCGGTTGACATTGTAAAAATACCACAAAGTGTCAGAAACAAACATCTTTTTTTTTTCAACGTAATATCCTTTGTATAAACACATAGCTATCAAATATCAAATTTTGCTTACCAGCTGCTAAGTACTTTTGACTGGAAAAATAAGTATCACTTTAGAACCACAATAAATTAAGCAGAAGTAAATAAAATGAAAGAATTCAAAATAAGATAAAACAGTAAGACACATACATTAGCAGAGATAGCTAATAGGAGAACATATAGTAAAATGTATATGTGACATGAGGTTTATTTATAACTTAGGCCCACAAAAAGATGCAGTTAAATATGTTAGTGGAAATTAAATCAGATCACAAAAATGTTTCTTGATTAAATATTTTAGAGTTCATCTTCAACAATGTAGCAATGACAAAAATATGCATCAAAAACTTATTAGTATTGGAATAAAATATCACTAGCTCAAACCTAATGTGACAGATAATCTATTTTCTGGTGCATCTTTTTGATGTAAATGAATTTTGCAAAATGACATAAATACTGTTAAAAATTCAATGATATAGACAAATGTGGCTGAGACAACTAATTGTACCTCAAAAATCCATTTCCGCCTTCCTTTAGTATTAGAACTTCTGAGTTGTAACTGGGCACAAGTCCTGTGTAAATAAAGATTATACGATTTTCCAAACCTCCCTTGCAGTTTGTTGTGGCAACGGAAATAAGTTGTGGCCTTGAAAGGACAGGGCAAATGTTCCACATCTCTTTTCCCCCATTCTCTTGACTGGAATGGATCAGCCAGCATTTTTGACTGTGAGAATCTGGAAGCCATGTGTTCAGCACAGCAGAGACAAGACAGAAAGAACCTGGATCTCCAAGACTGTGGAGTTCGGACTACTGATTATGTAGGCCCAATTCTTTTGAAAATAAACGTCTGTCTTGGTTAAGCTGCTGTTTTTGAGTCTCTGGTGCAGACACTGCTTTTGTGTCTGAAGTAATGAAAGTATATACCTAGTTCATCCCTGAAGAGTGGCCATCCAGCCTACAGATTTACTTATCAATTCTGAGAAACACACATTTGTTTTCCCCTTTTTAGCATCTCTGAAAGCAGAGTGAAGTTTACAGTAGATAACACCATACACCTGCTTTGGGCGAGAGAGAAACAGTGACACACTTGTTAGGCTTTGACTAAATTATTTAGCATCTTTTTGTCCTTGTATGTATGCAGGTGAGTGACATGATAAAAATCGATGTCTGTCTTAAGAATAAAAGGTCTCTTTATAAGTAGGGTACAGACAACCAAAAAGTGGGTGAAGGGAGACGTCGGACAGGGCAAGATATGACAAAATACCAATTTATAAACTATCAAGGGCTCATGAGGGAGGGGGGAGCGGGGAGGGAGGGGAAAAATGAGGACCTAATGTCGGGGGTTTAAGTGGAGAGAAAATGTTTTGAGAATGATGTACAAATGCGCTTTACACAATTGATGTGTGTATGGATTGTGATAACAGTTGTATGAGCCCCTAATAAAATGTTTAAAAAATAATAATAAATTTTTATCTACATGAAAAAAAAAAGAAAAAAGAAATACTATCCGTGTTTAACTAGGTCTTTTCTCGTAGATGTATCTTAAAATGGGTGCTGTTTTAGATTCTAAGGTCAAATCATTGGCAGAAAGTTTTCTATTTGAGCACAAGTCAAAGGCATATGGTGTAATGAAAAGATGAGATTTAAAATCCTATCACCTTGCATTTAAATTTCAGCTCTTTACTACTTTATTACTGAGACTCACATATTTCATCTATTTGAACCTCAGTTTTCAAGTCCATGTCCTGGGGATAAGGCTAACTTTCAGAATCTTGTTGGTGGGTCTAGATGAGATCATATGATAATATAACAAGTATAATGCATTTGTTATCTTAGCTATGTTTATTAAAAAATTCATGGAAAATGGAATTAAAAGATAATGGAATTTTTTCCGTGAGCTTTTTGATGCACCCTTGTATATATTCTTTTGTTACTTAATAAACCAATGAGAAAGATATTGTTACTTCCAGTCTATATATACCAAAACAAAGAGGATTAGACATCTTTCCATAGGCCACACAGCTTAGCAGTTATGCTGAAATTCAAAGCAGATCCTTTAATTTTAGAGCCTTTGTTCTTAATCAGCATGTTCTCTTGTTCAGTAACCTTCAGATGTCAAATAAATGGGTGAGGAAAGAATCTTTCAGTGTCTGGGAAAAACACTTACATCAACTTTTCCATTAATCAGTGCTTAAAAAGAGTAATTCACTACACTGAGCTACTATTACTGCTTCAGTACATGAAACAGTGAGGGCTGGTAAATAATGTATTAAAAAAAGCAGACTTTGCTAGCTTCCTTCACTCTTGAAACCTAATTCATCTTTCTAGAGTTGAATCGGTTAAAAATCATTCTTATTCTTTTTGGATTGAATTTTTAAGCGATAATAATATTTAAATTGCTAATTCAGCATCCCATTAACCCCTGTACACCAAATCTAAGTCTGAAATAGTCAAAGAAATCAGAGAAAAAAAGGATAAAACCTCTTAATTTACAGGAAACTACAAGTTATAACAATTTAGCCACAAAATACATGCTAATATCATAATTTTCTAGGGTGGAGCTTAGTTTTCAATTACCTCATTTAATAAACCTAAAGCTTTTCAACAGATTTATCCCTGGAACATAGAAGTATCAAAAGCCAGGAGATTGCTTACTCAGAGATGGCCCTAACTCAACATATTGGAAGAGGTGATTTTTAAAACGTATCTTCACAGATCACACGAATACCTTTAAATCATAATCTAAAAATTGATTGTGATTTTAAACAAAACTTCTATTTCACCAATTTTGTGAGTTCAAATTAAATGAAAGTATAGGTGATTAAAAAACCCCTTAAGATAAGTGTATAGCTAAGGCCACAGGAAAGAAACAAAAGTTATCATAGCAGGACTTAAAAAGGTTTATCTTCAGCGTTGACTGAAATTTTCTTAAACACTCAATCCTGGATAACAAAGCAAGATCTCTCCACCTCGGCAATTAGTTTGGAAAGTAATCTTGTGACTTTGATGATTTCATTTGAGAATTAAGGTCTCATCTCTTTCAATATGCGTTAATTAACTTTGTGAGCTTAATGGAAAACCGTGTTAGTTTACCTTGAAAGCTTTCTGAACTGCAGCCTTCTTCAAGCCGTCGGGGTTACATTCTAATGGGTTACTCTTTCACGTTAGAAGAAAATGAATATGCCAAGGGTTAATTAAAACATGCAATGAAGATTTCATGTAAGGTTAATGACACGAACATTTATGAGAACCAAAAAGAGACACAAAAACTTCTTGTGCGAAAATCACCAAGAAGAATTACCCCAAAAAGCCCCACAGTAAATGCCGTTTGTAAAATTATTTTATAAGCCCAATATTTTAATTGTAGAATAAACCTTTAATATCTAAATATAAAAATGTATTTCTTCATCTATAATTGCTATTCTTTAACCCCCCCTTTGTCCCCAACAGTTAATCTTTTGGATTTAAAACAAATAAAAGAAATGAAACTTTAGGATTCTATTTACTGTTCTTTGTGAGAACAATCCCCTAGAAAACCAACTATAACTATAGGTTTCATTTAAAGCACATACTATATCCCAAGTTGTTCTCAAGCCAAATTCTGTATTATAATAGCAATAGCTATTTATTTTTATTTAATTAAAAATTTTTTTGCTATTTTAATATTTTTGGAAATTTACTTTTTTTGGTCCAAAAATATAATAAAGATAGAACCCATTTTTCTACTTTGTCCCTCATAGATTTCAAAGTATACAAGGTACAGGTTGACATACATCACTTAAAAGTTCCTTCTGGCTTTAGGGTTCTGTTATTATGGATTTTAATTCTTACTTTTATTGATTTTTTTTCTTTTACCTCAACCCATTACTTTTCTGCCCTCTAAAGGGCAAGACTGAATTGTTTCTTAAATTTCACCATTTTGGTTTTCATTATTTCAAGTGTTAAATTAAATTTATCTTGATTTTTTAAAATGGAACATTTCAAAATGAAAAACAAAAGACAACCAGTCCACACTTCAGCACTATGGTAGGCTGGGCTGGATGAGCAGATCTATATCTGACCGGGCCGTGATTAATGAGACATGGAAGCTGATCTACAACCCAGGCTACACATTAAAACAGCCCAAGGAGCTTTATAAAAATGAATGAATCAATTGAAATCAGGCCATGGGTGGAGCTGGGACACTGGTATTTTTTAACAGCTTCCTAGGTGATGCTGATTAATGTTCTTAAGAATCCTGGCACCTTAGAACTTTCCCCAAAGCTAACTTTTCGGAAAGATAAGACTTGCACTAAATATACAAATTATTCTGACATGCATTAATTAAAGCAAAGAAAGTCTGTGCTATTGGATTAAGGTGGCAGAGAGAAAACAGTGAGGACGTGCAAAGAGCACACACCTTGGGGTTAAAATTCCATTCGAATGCTGCCCCAGCAAGAGGTCCAGGGGGGAGGCCTCCAGAAAGTCACCTTCCCTTTCAAACCTTGGTCTCATCACTGTAAACGGAGGCACCAAATCCCCTGCTGTTGGGATGATTCTGACTCATAGGGACCTTGAAGGGACAGAGAGCAACTGCCTGCTCCATAGGGTTTCCAAGGCTGTAAATCTTTACAAAGCAGACTGCTACCGTTTTCTCCCATGAAGAAGCCGGGACTTAGAATCGCCGACCTTTTGGTTAGTCACCTGTAATTTATTTTAGTGGGAGCCAAAAATAACACGCAAAAGAGGGTCATCCTGCGTTAGGATCTCAGTAAGTATAGCTATAAAATCGCTCCCTGGTATTAGTGTATCAAAAACAAACCAATAAAAATCCAAACTCACTGCCACTGAGTCGATTCTAACTCATGATGACCCCATTGGACAGGGAAGAACTACCCCTGTGGGTTTCCAAGAGTGTAACTCTTTACAGGAGTAGAAAACCCCATCTTTCTCCCTTGGAGCGGCTACTGGTTTCAAACTTCTGACTTTGTGGATCACAGCCCAACTCATAACCACTTAATTCAAAACTATAGCACTCATCTTAGGGAAATTCCAAATAGAGAATTATGAACATATTATAGTGAGAACAAATCGATTTTATACTATAATTGAGCTGAATATCATTCTTGGTATCCTGATACCAAGAATGTAGCCTGGGGTCACATTATGTTCAAATATCAATTCTACTACTGTTTAACCATGTGACCTTGGGTCTCTAATCCGTGGTTTAAGCTTTGTCCTGGTTACCTATAGAATGATTATGACGTTTTGAGGATTAGATGTAGAATACTTAGAATTCTGCGTGGCTATTGGAAAGTACTTAATAAATGTTCGCTATCAAGATTATTTATAAAACTTTGAGATAGTCAAGCTAACCACCCACTATGAGTCAGAGAACATTACTGTAGTTCAAGTTTGAAATTCAAGCCTAGGATTTGATCAAAAAAAGGAGCGCAGCATTCTAGAATTCTAAATTATAACAAGACAATTTCCAGAATAAAAGAAAATAAGAGTTTCCACATGGGGATCATTGGTGGTAATGTACTCATGGAGCTGAAAACTGAAAGTACTTTTCAAAAGGTAGAAGTAAGAGAACAATGAAGATGACAATCATTGACAATGTTTACTGGAAATAGCAATTATCTCAGCCTTTTGGGGAAAATGGAGAAAGTGCTGGTCTACACTACTCGTTTTCCATACTGAAAAGGAATGCGTAGGGTGGGAAAAACCCCAACTATCAATTTGTTCACATTTACTTTAGAGAGCATTTTGTGTAATGCATATGTTCCAATAATAAAGAATAACACCTGATTTTAATAATGCAGGAGAAAAATGAATTCTTATAACCAAGAATATTTTTAGTTAAATATCATAAAGCATTTAGAAACAAAAAACCAAAACTATGACACATGGTCAGAGAGCGTTCCATTAAGTGAAGAGCCTACATGATGGGAAAATAAATGCAGAAAAACTACTGGAGGTAGATGAGCAGAATCTATGCAACAGAACTGTACTGCCAGTTTTACCAGCGTATGGAGTCTCTGACTAAGAAATGCCTGAGGCAGAAAGGTACTTTATTAAAAAGTGATTGAAGATATTTGTCCTTAGGTACCACTGACCTCATGGAGACTTGTAAAAGGGCCTTGACTAAGTCTACGCGGGAAGTCAGGCAATCATGACTCGTGCTACTGCTGGGACTCTGAACGGCTCATCCAACCCTTCAAAGTCTTAATTTTTCTCATCTCTAACTGGGGTAAAATGCCCACTCTTCAAGTTTTTATTAATACTCTGTGTTAATAAAAGTACACTGAGAATGGATGTGGAAATTCTTCGGAAACAGACAGAAAGCGCTGCAAAAAAATGTACAGTATTCTTATTAGACCAGAGTTTTGAACCGGTTTTCATCCTGTTTTGATTTCCTTGCTGAGAATGCATTTTTCTACCCCAGTTAAACTGAATGGACCTGCGCATCTGGTTAAAATGTAAAGCATGATTCAATTTATCTGGCGTGGAAATGCAAATTCTCAGCAGGGGGTTGATCCGGAATAAATTCATTCAACTCAAGGACCAAATAAATGTTTAAAACTGTCATTACTTATTGCATTAAACCTGAATGTTAGCTTTCTAGACCAATGACACTAAGTTACTGGTGGCATTCTCTGAGCCCAGCTCAAGGGAAAATAACTATGAAAAGCACCAAGAGGCCTTATCAAGGTGCAAAAGTATAAAAGGCTTTAGGGAAACAGAAACCATGTGACCAAAATCAGGTCCCAATGAAAGGTATAAACAAAACAAAACAACTCAATTATTCACTCTATGAAATATCTAAGTTCCTCAAAAGATGCCCTTTCAGGGGAAAGGCAAATTTTCAGGTTAAAAAAAAAAAAGGGACTTTCATCTATTCATGTGACTATCCCTAACATTGACTGACAGCTGGCCTGCATGGAAGTTTTTTCAACAGAAGCCTCTCAGGGGCCAGACACACAGCTGCATGAGCCCTGACACTTCTGATTTTAGTAGGATGTAGATTTAATAGGGTTATTTGAATGTTACAGAGAAATAATTATATCGTATATTGAAATGAGTCCCAAGAAATGAAACGTTAGTCATTATGGCTTCATTTTTCCCTCAGGAGAATTATATTTATTTTAAAAAATTTCCCCATGAACTATTAGTAAGCAATTTAGGAATCTAAGCTTCTGCATAACCACTCAGTAAGTTTGTACTTCTCACCATCAGACATACTCACCAATGTAACAGGAGGGTTAAAATTTCAAAAGCAAGCACAAAACAAACACAGTGACTGATAGCATGCAAGAAAACACAAACAAACATGCCAAGCCATTCCGCCATCGAGTAGACTGCGTTAGAAGTTCGAGTCCACAATCTGGCCGGTGCCATTACAACAAACAGAAAGAAAGAACACGGGAGAACTCACAAATAGTGCTCTATAGACTGAGGTAGTGTCCTCACAAAACACTAGTCCCGATGCTCTCCTCTCTTTTAAGTAGCCACACCCAAAGTTTCCCTCGTAGATACTCTTAGGAAAGTGAACACGGAAGGAGAAAGCAAAGAATGATGGGTTGTGGTAAATGAGTGCACAAAAAAACAATAGTAAGTAGGTGTGCAAAGACAGAGTCAAAGAATTCCACAATAACTCGCAGTGAAAATGAATCTTATTTTAAAATGTGCCCACTTTAAAATAAACACCCAACAGGGCAGTGGTCTTGCAGAAATTCTTTGCCTCTGACAGCCATAACATACTTCATGCACGTGTTCTTAATAAAGATGTTAATAAATGCACTTTTTGAGGGCTTGTGTGACAATATTCAAATTTCAGTTCAATGTGACAAAACACACAGTTGTAAAGAGAGGCCTAATCCTTTCTTGCCAACTCACCAGTCCTATTTTCTATATTCTAAAATATACAACAAATTTATTTCCATCAACTATTATAGAAAATTTTACAGCAAACATCATTGTGGTTAAAATTTAAAAAACTGTACTGTACAATATATTCTGTAGAAAGGGTAAATAATAATAAAACAACTTTCATTATTTCAATAGAAACTACAACAGATTAAAGTCAAACTTTAGACTGGGAGATTGATCAAAAGGTTAAGGTAAAATCTTTAAGAGAAATGCAAGAATTTATGTAAGAAATCAGTTAAGAAAGCTTATCTGAAAGAAAGAGCATGATTACATACAACACAATTTCCTGTCAGCATGAAGAAATTAAATGATCAATTAAATTTGAATTGGTAATAAAAGATACATACAAAGGACTTTATTTCATTTCATACATACAAGTTGCTTTTAAGCCCAACTAATGCACTATTTTGCAATGTGGAAGATGCTAAATGAAACAAATGTAGATATTTTGTGAGACGTAGGAAGCAGTTCAGGGATCTTAAGGTGAGACTATATTAGAGAAATGAATTTGTGTCCAAGATGAAACAGACCTAATTTGAGGTCTAAGATACAGGACAACTTGTGAAGGCCAGAATCTATGTAAGGCCTGTTAGTAAATGAAAACAGTCTTCTACAGTGAGTGACAGAAAAGTGGTAAGAGTGCACAAAGGCAGAAAACGTTAAGACCTGGAAAACCGAGGCACTACGAGGGGGTACCCCCCTCCAAAAAAAACACAAACAAACCAGAAAGGCTCACTGGGTGGAGCTTTCATGGACACATTTTTCCTGCTAGATGAGCATCAAGCAACTGTGAGTTGGTGCACCCAGTGGCACTGCCTGGGAAGGTTCTCTCTGGTCCAAGTGCATTTTTTTCATAAAAGCAGTTTTACTCGAACTTCATTTTTTGTGGAAGCTGATTTAGGAGAATCGTGTGCGGCTGTGAAATTTTGTTTTCTGCTCAGGAAAAATATCCCAGAAACTGTTGTGATGTTGAACACAGCTTACAAGGACAGGACTATAGAAAAAATTGAAGTATATAAGTAGTTTTCAGCTGGACCGGAGGATGTACACTGGCACTGATAGGAACTGGAAATACAGTGAACCCAGGACAGATGAACCCCCCAGGACCAGTGGAGAGAGTGGC